GTAGGAAAAACAAAAAATTCAAAGATGAAACTAGTCAACAACCAAATAGTTTCCAACAGTATTTTAAGGAATGCAAGAAAATCTGGTCCAGTTAGAAGCAGAAGAAATCCCAACTTCTACACTGACATACATGTAAACATCTAGGTGACTTTGTAATGCCAACAAACTTCCTTTTCAGAGAAAAAAAGGTCCACTTTGGAAAGGTTTGTGAGGAACACATTCCCAAGGTTGGACATCTAACCAGTGAGCTTTACAATTTATTTCAATACTCCCACTATCATCAACATCAAAAGAAATGCATTAAAAGCAGACTTTCTCACTGTGATGCTATATTAAAGTTTCTTGAATGCGATGATATAAATACCTTTAAAAATCAAGTTTTGGTACAATAATCACTAACATCCCCCAGTCTATTAGGGTAGATGTTAATATAACTGACCATCAAATAACCCGAGGAGAATGGAGAACTTAAGTAGGGTCCCTACTTCCGACCGACCTACTCGTCTCAACATCTTCATTTCCTAAGCGAAGTGGTCGTGAGTAATGAGTCTCAGCTGCTCAGGGGTGGCCAAGGGGCATGCCTGTGAAATGTGGAAAAAATGTAGACAATTCCACAATAAAAAAATGAAAAAATACCATGAATATCAACAGCAAACAGCACAGACATGGATTATTAACAATGGCAAAGCACATGATAAACAGTGTGTCCACTTCAACATTGTCTGAGAATGAGATGAGCAAAAGCAAAAAGAAAGCCAAAAAATTGGCTCTTCTGCCAAGGTGTAAGTAAGCTTTGCAGAAAAGGATGCTTAGCTATTTCAAACAGTGATGACTTATTATTTTAACAGAGAAAACATGGGAAACATTGAAATGCAATAATATATTTGGACGCATGAATCGAACCAACGGCGCGAAAGCCGACCCTGTGGTTCCTCAAAGTCGGGCCTGTGATCGTGCTTCCTAGCCTCACTAAGCATCCACCACCCGGCGCGAAGGTCTTAGCAAGCCTCTATACGCGCACGCCACTTGCCGTGTTGGCTTGCAGAGCCAGGAACGACCGATTTTGGACAGACTGCATATTCCCAGCATAATTGTCTCCAGGAGGTACCTCCAGGAGGGAGGTTCAAAGAGGGGGCTAACTAGATATTGCTTGACAGTCAAGCTTGATTAGAATATCCATGGCCTTTGATATAGATCTTAGGCTGACCATGGAAAGGTACATGTACGGTTAGAACAACTAGAGAAGTGGCATTGTACATATGAATGCAGAATTCCCGACCTTAGGCGTGTGCTTCACTTGCCTATGCCTACAACTAGGGATCGACTTTCAGAGACCCTCACCGCGATTCGGTCCAGAAAACCGACCCTCTAAAATATCGAATTCCAAGAACATAATGATGTAACCATTTCTTACAGCATACTCTTCAGTTACCTTAGAACACTATATTTACGACCATCAACGCTTAGAGCCACCAGTAAGTACCACAACATAATTTATACCAGGGACATTTGTAACCAAGATCTCAGCGTGCCTCACTTAAAGTAAGAATGATGTAATTTAAGGAGCTCGTTTCCGGTTGACTATATGGATTAACAACTATGCATTCTCTGTGAGACACATTTTAAGCTTCGCTTAAAACATGGATTTGAAGACGAAGACACAGAGGGCAGTATGTCATAACGGTGAGGTCCGTGAAGAGAACCGGAATTCCGTCAAAATTTGTGCATGGGTCGACTTTCGCGTACTTACGTTACGTATATGAATTGTTCAAGACTTACTGCTTGTAACATACCTAGGATTTTGTCTCAGGAAAAGATTTCTGTAGCACATGAAGCCCTCTCAGTATTAGCAAGCTTTTTCTGGCTTATTTTTTCAGGATCGGTTTTTCAAGGCCTTGAATGGGACTATATACAATCGATGCTGGCATCTGTCTGCACTGCTGAAGGAAGTCAGCACCCGAGATGCTTCCGAGATCTTCCCCCACATCATGGAGGAGATCTTCGGCACTACCAGCGGCCAGGGATGGAATCTCCAGAAATGGTCCCCCCGCATTCAGTTAGAAGATTGGCAGGGCGTCACTTGGCTCTTGTCTCCGGGTGGTGATGTCATGCACCTCGTTTACAAACTCATGAGTGATCCCTCGCTCAAATTTAAAGTGCCAGTTCATCTGCTCCCAGTGAGTTTTGGGGAAAGCTCCCTGTTTGAATGCATAAAATTTTCTCATTTTCTCTGCTGATAATGCCATATTTTTTCTATAGAAATCCTCCTATGAAATGTTGCAAAGAGGAGGAATGAATGCTTTCTATGCTGACAAAATCCATCATTTAGAAAATGGAAACATGGAACTTCTTCTGAGTGAGTCAATTCTTTCTTGATCTTAACAAATTTTTTTTTCTTTAAGTAGCCAGACATAGGCCAAGGAAAGAGTATTAAGTTGTTATTGCATTTTCCAGTTGTATTATACAGTCAACTCTTGATAACTTGAAGTCCAAGGAACATTTGAGTTAACAAGACTTTGAGTTATGGAGGTTTTTAAATTATATACACCACAAAGCTGTACATATGTGTATTCAGTATTCCAAAATGTCCAAAAAAACACCACCTCATTTAATACATAAACACTGGAAAAAGTCAGTCAGATGATTTTGGTGTGCTTGCGTTGAAATTGGTTCACGCACAGTCAAAAATATTCATTTGATTCATTTCAACCCATAGTGTGAAGTGTAGAGTATACTCCCACCAACTTCCAGGGCCAGAATTTCCTGGTTTATCCCTTGACTGGGTTACATATTCCGAGAAATATTTGGAGGAAATCCCTTTTATTCCTCTGAAATCTATGTGGGAAACTGTTGGGAAATGTGTTGAATGTACTATTGACTCATTTTCAAAAAATCTAGGAAGTGACTTGTGACAATGGCCACTTTGGCTCCATCTAATGCTGATTTTCGGAACCTTCTCAGCCTATTAGCATGTTGGATGCCGATGACGCAATCTCATCTTTATCCGTTCCATAGAAATGAGCTTTATTGGCAGTGAATGTGTTAACTGCGTGTACACTGCTGGTGCCCTGTGTTGCCCAGTGAAGAGAGAATGAATGGTGCAACTGTAGCACAAATGTGATTAGGTTGGCTCAGTTAGCCGCCAGAAATGAGTGAACCGCCTCAGTTATGGGCCAACAATAGATCAAGAAACATTTTTGACTGGGCATACCCCTGACTGGTCACCAGAGGGGAAAATTAATTGTCCTTATGGGACTTTCAAAGGGAAACATAGTTTCTTCAAGTTAGAAAGGTTCAACTTATCGGGAGTTTACTATATTTCACATTCATAAAGTGCATATTATCCCCATCCCCCCCAACCTAAATCAGGATAATTAATCATGGTCAAATCTAATATCAGGATTATAATATTTGATGTCTTATGCCAAGTTCAACTCTTTTTTTACTTTCAGGTTGCACTTGAAAGAGAGTTTGTTTTTTGAAACATGTGCTGGTAAAAATATTTTTCAAAGCTCTTGAGTCTGATAAGTTGAGTTTATCTATTTATCTTGAATCAATAAAAAAATATACAGACCAGAAAGATTTATGGAAAAGAATTGAAATTGGAACTCATGTTCCTGTGCCTAGTTCTTGTTCTTATTCTTTTCCTATAGCTTAAAATATTTTTTTGGTCTAATTATGATAAATAAATATGATACAGCATGAGAAACTTCAGCAAATGTCAGAATTTGATGAAGTCAAAGTGTATATTATGATCCTAAAAGTTTTTGTATCACCAGGTAGTTATCCTTGATTGGACTGGGGTTAGGGCAAAGGTGGTACATCTATACAAGAGATCCTGTGCATTCATCTTGGATTTAGTGCATACTTTTGCTGAATATTTTTCCTGGTTGGAAATTATAATTCTGCTTGGGATGAACAAAATATTAATTCAGAAATCTCTATCTGTAGTTGCCTCTTGACCTTTTGTGTACAATGCAAATTCCTATGAGATATAACTTGTCAACATGAGGATTATCATAGCATAGGCATGGATTTTGGTTCATTTGGTGCTGATCTTTCTTCTCCTGATCTTCCTTAGATCCTTTTGACTTCTTCATCTTCCACCTGGTTTATGCTTTGGTGAATCCAAGCAAAAGGCAAGAGAGCTGTATGAACCCTTTGAATACTGTTCAATCTGCATATGAAGCGCTCATTGAGGAATACCTGGCCTACTTCTTTCCCTGTGATGGATCTTCACCTTCTGTGCCGTCCACTGGAATCTCGCCACCATCACGCTTTGATTCAGTGCAAAAGTCACCTGCAGCTTCTGCTTTTAATAGGTTTGTCTTGATACTGTTGATGTCAGATTGTGGATTTTGAAAACCATTTTGATGCACTTTAACAGACTTTTGTCATATGGTATTGTTAGGCAGTAGTATAAAGGGTGGGCCAAAAAAAAAAGCTTTCATTTTTGATAAGCTATCAATCTGATTGTATGCAACTGATTTAGATTACATTTGGTATACACAGGGTGACTCAATTAGGGTTTGCGTGCCAAGTTTAAAATAAAAATTCCAAAATTTGTGAAATTGGCATTTAATTTACATTTCATCATCAAAAAAGTAAGTTTTCATTTTTTCTTTCAGTTTTAAAATTCTCACAGCTGACAGAAACAAACAAGCAAGCAAACAGAAAAAAAAAAACAGATGCACAAATGCCAAACATGAAAGCATACAATTTGGTTTAGGGATGTACATTTCAATTGAGAAGGTGCTCAATGTGCCCTCTATTCTGTTGAATGCAAGCCTGTAGTCTGGGACACCACAGATCAATGGCAATGGCTTGGTCAATAGACCTTTGAGGCAGTGCCTCCCAATCTTTGTAGGATCATGCAGGGATGGAATGTCAATGAATTTGGACCTCCATTTCATCCTGGCTTCAGGGTTATTATCAATATTTTTGACAGCACATTTTGTCAGTTTTGAGAAAATAATTGCAACTCCTATAATTTTGAAGCCAGATAGCTGAAATCTGATTTACAAACTCCAATTGTGTCACCTTATAAGCCTACCAATTTTAATAAAAATTGACAGCCTACAAAGTGATTGACGATTCTTCAAAAATTATAGCTTTGTTATTTTTTTGGCCCACCCTGTATATAGGTCCCATATGTACATATATATGCATCTTGGTTTTCAGATCAAACTCTGAAGGAACAGTTGGAGTGTCTCGTCCATTTCGATCGTCCCTGTTGCGTTCATCAGCGCTCATTGGGCTGTTGAGTCCATCGGGGATATCGATGCACTCGGGCAGTCACCCTGTGGAAACTTGGCGATCAGAGACCTTTCTTGCCATTCTCATTGAGTTCTGGCTCTCTTCCTCCAGCCAGCCTTCCCCTTTGCAGGCTATTTCTGCATATCAGGTTTGTGGTGCATTCTCTGATAATGTGCTGTAATTTCTGCATGTTTTCTGATCTGATGTTGGATTAAATGAGTGAAAATAGGCTGCATGTGAAGCTGTAAGCTTCTACATGACATGTCCCTTATCCATGAGGGTGGCATCATGAGCACCTCAAGATGCGAAGAGTGGACGGGTCAGTAATTGAACTTCTCTTCTTGCCTACATCAATAGCTTAAAATTGGAACGAGCTAGAGCACTTTCTTGCTGCTGTCTGATTCTGTTCTGAAATTGCTGGAATGTCTTGTGCTTCTTATGGAAAACCTGACCTTGGCATGTTGTTTGTAATTATGCCTATGCAGCTGAAGGATGCTCAATTGTTGGAGATCTTTCAGGATTATGAATTTTTACTATTAGGCCTGGATGCTGAGACCTCATTTAGTTAACAGTCTTAAGAATGCAAGGATTCCTATGGGGGGAAAAAAGACATCTCCCTAGCTTAAAGGCCCCTTCATATCCCTTAAATGGGGTTTGTACATTCAGGCCTTAATCTTCTACTGTTTAGATTTAATTTGATTCAAAATGTGATTGTTATTGATTGGGATATATATATACCTTCTGCTAACCCTTACCTGGTTAGTCTCTCATGGGCAATCTCTGAGGGAGATGCATGGCTGTGAAAAAATTGCCTATAATTTTTATTAAGACATTTCTCTGAGAAGCAATTTGCACTCATGCAAAGTAAAATAGCAAAGAATCGTCATTTGGGGATACAGGTCTAAAGGCAAACAGTAGTGAATCAGTTTTGACTTTGAAAGTTAGTTGGAAAAAATAGCAGCAATCTGGTTTTTTTGTCTATGATTGGTTTCATAGTGGGAGTGACAGGTGTTGAGAGATGAGAGATTTCACTCATGGGAGATTTCTGTCCTTTTAATATGACACGGGGATTCAAAATGATACAGAACCAGGTTGGGTTATGTCATTGAGAATGATGGAAGATTGTCCCTTGCACATGGCCTATAGAGGCTTTCCCAGGTCTCCTGCCTAGCTTTTCTGTTTTTCTTGAGCTATCCACAAGATGGATAAATGCATTGGAGAAAATCAGTGCTAGGCTGATGCCAGCATCAAATGCTACAATGGGCTTCCATTACTTCTCTAAACTGTTACTTAAGCAATTCTACATCTTTCCAGGATTTTTATGATTAACCCCATGCTGTGATTTTGAGTATGGAATGGATCTAATTAGAAGAGCTAATCACCTATGAGAATTCAGCATGGGAATGCTGGTATAGGTCTTGCAAGTTTTTATGTGTTTCACCTGATGTTGCTCTTTGATTTTATGAGGTGCACAGTTTAAAACTGGAGACAATTTAGCCATACTTTCTAGTCATACTATTGTGAAGTTGGAAGCTCATTCAATGGTCCTTAAAAGAGAGTTTTATCATAATGCGATCTTTATTTCATGTTAGATTTTATTGGGGGAACTGGATAAAGGTTAAACAATAGATATATTAGGAATCCTCCATCCTGAAGAATTCATTTTGGGGAATAGCCCCTATTGTCCCTCCCAATCATACAGACATTCTTTTAGTTTGAATTCCTGTTTGCTCCATCATCATCAATGAGTAATGGCATGCTAGGTTTCTGCCCTTGTCGCCATGTATCCTTAACCCTTAAAATACCAAACCTCAAAGTTTTGCATGTTATAACATAGTCGCTGGGTCAAATTTGACCCAGCTTGATCATTTAAGGGTTAAATACACTGGCCATTCATTGCCACTCAGCAGAATAAAAGATTTGGCAAAATTCATTGCCTCATAAAAGATCATGGTGAAAGGTATGTGTTATCACTATATTGAATCTTGATTTACCTTGTCAACATGAATGCACTACTTGCATTATTTTGTGAGCCAGTCAATCCATCTCTTGAAGATTTAGGAAAAAATGCATTTTATCCATTAGGATGAACTTCCATGTTATGTATGGTTTGGCCAATTTTCTCCCTGGAATAGTTAGGATGAATCATAGACTGAGGGCAAGCTTCTAACAAAAATGAAGTAAATAATGCACATTTGGACTGGAAAAGGATTGTAGAAATGATTTTGCATGGTGATGAATTCCCTCTCCGTGTCCTCCAGTTCTGTATGCATTGTGGGGCTCTCTACTTGAGAACTGGGACGGGACATATGTACTGCGTAAGTCCAATTCCGTAGCATGGATGCCTGCTGAACTAAATGCTACTGACAGACTTTTTTTTCGTTCTTCACTCCTCTGGCATCTAAACATTCATGCATTCTGCTTGCTTCTGCAGTCTTTTGCTATTCTTTTTTACATCTCTACTTTCCCTTCTTAAGTAAATGTGCTGCTCAGGATCACAGAATTTAACCCACATCATTTCCTGACCCACATGTAGGTGGTCTGACTTTCTTGTATCATGATGAAGAAGCTATACCTACTGTATGGCAAAATTTCTAAATAGGAAAAAAGGGATGGACTAGTTCCCATGTTTTCTCTGTTAAAATAATAAGTCATCACTGTTTGAAATAGCTAAGCATCCTTTTCTGCAAAGCTTACTTACACCTTGGCAGAAGAGCCAATTTTTTGGCTTTCTTTTTGCTTTTGCTCAGAGTGCTGGTGAAGCGAATCCTTTACTTCTACAACTCTGCTCATCCAGCCAGCCTTCATCCCTGGGATGAATTCAAGAGGTAAGAGGAGCCCAATAAACTACCAGTCAATATAATTGTAGATGGGATGTAGACTGGGGGATGTTAGAGTAATTATTGTACCAAAACTTGATTTTTAAAGGTATTTATATCATCGCATTCAAGAAACTTTAATATAGCATCACAGAGTGAGAAAGTCTGCTTTTAATGCATTTCTTTTGATGTTAATGATAGTGGGAGTATTGAAATAAATTGTAAAGCTCACTGGTTAGATGTCCAACCTTGGGAATGTGTTCCTCACAAACCTTTCCAAAGTGAACCTTTTTTTCTCAGAAAAGGAAGTTTGTTGGCATTACAAAGTCACCTAGATGTTTACATGTGTGTCAGTGTAGAAGTTGGGATTTCTTCTGCTTCTAACTGGACCAGATTTTCTTGCATTCCTTAAAATACTGTTGGAAACTATTTGGTTGTTGACTAGTTTCATCTTTGAATTTTTTGTTTTTCCTACAGTGAAGTTGAAATTGATGTCATATGGAATAGTATAGAGAGATCTTTGTTCCTCTTTCACTTGCACCATTTCATAGTATTCTATATTCCCTCTTTTTTTTCATTCCTTCTTTTCACTCCTGAGGTCATCCTTCTATGACTGCATGAAAGGGCAGTCCCTACCTGACTGGGCTTCACACAGCTTTTTTTTTTCAGCTCAAGGATTGGACACTCTTGTTTTTATATTTATTTAAGTAGAATCCTATTTTCTTAATTTTTCATCTGACTACAATGTCATCTTTTTTGTTTTTTGTCTTCTTAAAGCTAAAAATATTTTGGAAATTACTTATGTGCAAAATGATTTCTAAATGGCAACAGTCAAGGAATATTGACAGTGATAAGACAATATAAAAACTGGAGATGGGAAACAAGACTGTTTTTTGTCTAACATCNTCTTTTTTGTTTTTTGTCTTCTTAAAGCTAAAAATATTTTGGAAATTACTTATGTGCAAAATGATTTCTAAATGGCAACAGTCAAGGAATATTGACAGTGATAAGACAATATAAAAACTGGAGATGGGAAACAAGACTGTTTTTTGTCTAACATCAGCCAAAAAGTGGCAGATTATGAAAATTAAAAAGTTTGAACTGTGCTGAACCTACTGGCAATATCCTTCTTCATTACATGTGGAATACCAGAATAGGGTATATTTTCCTAAACTGATGCAGGGGAAAACTAATACTAGCATATCTTTTGTGGGAAAAATTATAATGAATGATAAGAACATCATAGTATTGTTTGAGCCCGTGATGCAGTGTTCATGATTGAGTTCATGAAGTACAAGTTTGAGACGAACTTGTACTTCATGTTATATCTTAATGCTGTTGAAGAGGTAACTTAAATGTTTGAATTAACTTTTTGTTTTCCTTGGCAGCTTCTGTGTTTCTGGTACTGTTCTTTTGAAAAAAGATTTCACAATGATAAAAGCATCATGGTACTAATTGATACATTATACTGTCTGTCCAATACTTTCTACATTGAAATGCCATATTTAGAAGTATGGGACTGCAAATAATGGAGTTGTACATGTTTATAGAAATGCTCTGGTCCGGCTGCAAAGACCCTTGTATCCTTTCCTGAAGACCCTCTTTGATCGGTGGCCCCTGGATGCATCTTTTCGTCTCCTCCTGGAAACATGGCTTTCCTACATTCAACCATGGAGATATACTGATCCAGCTGTTGCTGCTGGCCTCAGGTAGAAAAACTCAGGTCTCATCTGCTCCCACTCAGCTTTAAAGTCTTAATATCAAAATATTTACTGCTGGAATCCTCACAAAGGGAGAATCAGGCTCAGGAGGGAAGCCGGATGGTAGATCGACATTGGAAGAAGTGGATCGGAGAGAACTTGCTCTTCTACTCTGTCATCTTCCAGGCTTGCCTTCCCCGATTCTTGCGGATGGATCTCCTCTCGGCACGCAATGCCGTCCTCTTATATCGCTTCACCAAGGTAAACTACTTCTTCTCTTTTGATGTTATTTTTATGAATGTACCATATTGTTATAAGAAATCCATATGAGTGGTTGATGGCACTTTTTCAAGGTCATGGTTTTCTGCAGGGGTAATGATGGCAGCAATGGGTGATGAAAACGAATTTCAAGTTTGTTTGCACAGACAAAGTGAGGATTTGATAATCAATGCATGGTGATAATTAAGAATGACATTCAGATGAAGTTTAAGTTTCTTATGCCTTGGCAAGCCAGAAACCTTTTCCTGTTCAACAAAACATCCATTCACTGTGTAAAATAAAATAAGTTATGAATCTGGTGAAAAAAATCACGACTGTCATGACCCATCCTTTTTGTCCTTTTCATCATATTTTCCAGAACAAATTTTTTTGTGCAGGAATTAAGATGGAGGTGCATAGGAGATGGCTGAGTTGTTATTGGTTTAGAATGGATATCAAGTTTCATTTAGGTTCTTCTGGGTGATGAAATGATACCACTTGACCAATCAAAACTCTTGAATAAAAAGGTGAAGCTCTACATGTCCAGTATTACCTGTATTTTATGTTCCATCATGGAATTGGCAAGTGGGAGACTTAAGGGACAGGAGAAAATGTTTTGTATTGGGGAAGAAATAGCATTATGTCTGTATTAAGCAGAAAATAAGAAGTAATACAAATTTTCTTAGAAGTAACTAAAGCTAAAAATTTATCTCTCTGGTGTTTGTGGCTGGAATGCTCAGAAATTTGACTGGCATTCAGAAACAATTAACCCTTCATGCATGGCATCCTCTATAGTGGACAGCAAAGTTTTTAGCGATGATGATTTTTTTAGTCATTGTACACATACCTTGAAACTTTTGGTGCATGCAGTCAAAAAACTATGATGGTAAGATAGAAAGTAAGGTTCCCTATTTAATTTCTTTGAAGGGCAGGTAATTACACTGAAGGCAATATACAGGAAATGTCCCAGCATATGTTTATTATTTGCCCACATAGTCGCCAGACTTGTTGAGACATTTGTTGTAATAGTTGATCAGCTTATTGAAGCCCTGCCAATAGATGGATGGGAACCTTACTTTCTGACTTACCCTCGTACTTTTGTCAAAAAACTACTTTAACTTCCCTCTGAAGACTAGCAAAATTTCAGAGCATTCCAGCTGCAAACACATGCAATATACATAATTTATTTATTGATGGTACTTCAACAAGTCCTGGTATAGTGCATCTGTTTGAATTGTGGGTCAAGAGAGATAAGCAAAGGAAAACATTAGCATATCAGGTACTAGGACCAAAGGGAAAACTGTATGATTTATGAGGGGAGAGGGGGAGTGAAGAACGAAACCAGTGGCATAGCTTCCTCTTCTTTCAACCCTCTACTTCCCAAAATTCTAAAAATACTGTTCCTCATACATTCATTGATCTCCTTCTCCCCTCAAAAAAGGAGCAGAGTTGCCCTTGAGTTTGGAGGGTGGCAAATTTGATTGCTGCTTCCCACTTCTCACCCTCATTAGGCAGGTGCCATATAGATCCAACAACCAGCAATACAAACGGATGCACTATACAAGTTCATCCCTATATATAAATTTGGAGGTGATATAATTTAGTAGCTGCTCTTTGTGATAATGCAGATATTTGCCCTGGAGAACCTTGCACCAATAATTCAAGAATTGGAGCAAGAACTAATGGGCCAGGGAGAAATGTCACATGGATCCAGTCATCATGCAGTGGCCTTGAGGCAGCATATCCTTGTTCTAGAGGGACCTGGTTATCATTACAAGCATTTGTTCTGTGATCAAGTCTACCAGCAGGTTGTTTGGTACCTCTGATTCTAATCCAACTAGAGACCATTGTGCAATTTCAGACAAAATGATTTTATATCTCATAGATCAAGGAGTTGATGGGAGAAGTTCAAGCAGCTAGCAATACTCTCAAGGCACGAATCCAAGTGGCATCTGCAACACAGGGCCATCTTGCAAGTCTTTCTACCATTCAGTCTTTGGTCAAGTCTGTTCGCTTTCTGTTGTCTGGGGAGATGCGTCCCCTACCCGAAGAATCTGCCCAGGAGTTGACCAAACATCAAGGCCACATATCAGCTGCTATGCTCTACCTCTCAAACATCTTCCAGGTCTGTCAGATGTTAGATGCATGATGATACTGTAATCATATTGCAGATGCCAATATCAGGGTTCTAGTACTGTGCTTATTGGTTCTAGGTCAGTCAGAGGAGTAAAATAATTGTGTTCGTAGCAAATGGTTCATGATTATGAAGTAACTCATGAAGTGACTTCAAAACGTCTATTTCTTTTGAAAGATCTCAGGGCACACATTTCACTTGAAACTTACGGGTATGCTTCCATCAGTGCATCAGTTTTGTTGCCTTTGAGACCTACAGGGTGGGCAAAAAAAAACTTCTGTTATCTTCAGCACTCCACAGCAATGGATCCCAAAAGTTTGCTAAAATTACAATTGTGCCTCTGTATAGAATATTCATTCAGCTTTCCAATGATGTCAACAAAATAAAGATTCGTGGCATGACTTTCATGCAGTTAAGTAAAGAGTATAAGAGGTAGCACTGGAAAAGTTGGTGCTATGCCATGATGGCAGCTAGTGCATGCATGAGGTCACCTACTCGCCATAAGTGAAGGAATGGACGTCACCTGGAGCACATCCTGTAGGGAACCAGTAAGTGCACTTTTCAAGCGCTATCTCTATCACACTGTGTGTAACTGCAACAGAATGCTGAATTGGATCTTAAATATTTTGGTATCAATGGAAAGCTATATAAATGATCTATATAGTGATGCCATTGCAATATTTTCAAACTCTTGAGAAACTATGCTGTGAAGCGTTAAAGATAACCTAGGATATTTTCAGCCCCCCCTGCATATATCCATGCCAGATATTTCTGTAAATATCCCATAGGTTGGCAGAAATCACCAGTGATGATACCTGCACCCCCTACTTGATATGGGTGCATAGTTCCTTGCTGCAGTCTCTGAACTGTGGATAATCATCGTTATTTCCTTCTGCCCAGCTTGAAGTGCCTCAAGATATCACAAGAGTGAAGCCACACCTATCATATGAAGAGTCGTTTCTCACACCACCACCATCTCCTCCATCTCCATCGACCACTCCGGTGTCCATCGTGGGAAGAGGGGGTACGAGCTTGACATCCCAAGAGAGGGAAGAAATACTGAGGGGTTGGCGGAAGAGCCTGGTGGTCTATGGTGGAGATCCCGATCTTGCGCCGATTTGTTCATACGAGATCGCTTGGCTCGTCCGCATCCTTTATCACATTGCTCAGTACTTCAATCGAAATGTGAGGAACTCATCACATGTATCTCTGCTTTGTTATTCCTTTTGGGGTCTATTATCTTAAGGTTGATTTTTTTTGTGGCTTTCATTGCAGTATTCTGCTTTGATGGAAGATCTCTATCACCAAGATTCTTATTGGGGTGCAGTCTCTCGAGAGATTCTCCAGTCTCCCATGGATTGCAGGGAAACTAAGAAACTGGACGTGGGAAAGTGGAACGAGAAGACGATACGTCTCCCGCCCAGACTGTCACTTCGGGCCTTTGCCACCCGGCAGCAGTTTGCGTTTCTTGCCTTTTTGTTCCTTCTTGGGTGGTATGCCTTTTCTCTGGACCCGGTAACCGTCGGCCTTCTCGTCTTCACGGCGGTGATGGCGTATTTCATGACGAGAGCCGCCTTCGTCACGGCAAAAGGGCGACTGATGGGCCGACCTCAGAATCAAAGTGGCATGCACCATGAACCAGAGATGGCAGCTGGCAGTCCGCTGTTGCCCGGTTCCCGAAGGGATTGATTCTACCCCTGCCAGTTCCTCCCCTTACTGTGCCAAAGAAGTGGTGTCATGTGAAGGGTGACCATTCCTCCATTGACTTTGGATTGTGAAAGTCTTTTTGTGATCAAATAATTAACATTTCATGTTTTCATTCATTTCACGTGATTAATAACTACAGATCATCATAAATCCAGCAATGACTCATAAACTACTCTTTCTTAATTCTTGGAATATAAACTTGTGGTTTGAAATGAGCGAGGAAGGAGAAATCATGTATCATCGCTACTGGGAATGAGCCACATTCAAAAGCGCCTGTGATATGAAAATGTGCTGTTTTATCAGCATCTCTAGCCTGGTACAACAGGTAGCCCCTTATGGGGTCTATAGTATAAGACTGCTCTGGATGAATGGATGATGGTACAGTGAACTGCAACCTGCTGGGATTTCAAACAAGTCGACACCATTTCCTTTGAAAAAGACAGGAGAGGTACATCGGAGTGCTCACTGCATTGTGGACTAGAGAGGGAAAGTTATGCTTCGTAGACTACATTAAGAGATGATGGAAAAGTTGTGTCATCGCATGACATGAGTTACCGTTGCGCAACGTGTAACCTGTTTTTTTTTCTTCATATACCAAAAATTGCATTAGTGTCATGTACCGCGACGAGATTTGAAAATGAATAAGAAAGAACTTGACCGCTGAGGAATTTACAAATATCTCAATCGAAATTAGAGCAAAGCCCGTTAAACGGCGATTAAGTCCCCAAAATCCATACAGCCCTTCTCCATGTCACGTGCTCAGTAATCTTCCTAGTGATCTGAGATTCATTTTAGCATAATGTGATTAGTTTAATAGGAAATGAGTGTAACGAGCCCGAAAGCTCGCATGTGTGCATTCTGACGTGAGGAGCCATGACAGAGGGTCGAGTCGAAGCAGCCCTCTCCTCGCCTTCCGCCGTTTCACAGCCATTTTGATCTCACTCGGCTGGGCGTGCGGATCCGTCCGTTGGTTCCCCGGTTTTCTTATGATGAGAGGCCGATGCAAGATCAAGCGGACCTCCTACTAATGGGTATCTAAGATTGCAAAGGCGCAACCTCGAGGGAAGAGATGGCTGTATTCATCATCTGATTTCGTATCGCCACTCTGGGCCTTGGGACGGCCTAGCGTGGGCTATCAACTGCAACAAAGTTTGGTCTAACATGTTAGACTAGGCTGATGCTAAGGTAAGCCTTCCATGTTAAAATAAGCATAAGTATAGTCTCCGGCCTACCGGCTTCGCCGAGGCACTCACATTTGGGGCCATCCGTAATGATAAGGACCTTGGTCTTGGACTAAGATCCATTTAAGGTGGAACGCCCTTTTTTTTTTTTTTTTTTTTACCTAGCAGACCCCGCGTATACCTTTGCATAATACTAAGTCAGGCATGCAAGCCCGCTTTAAGTTTCCTGGAAGGTTTACGAAATTTATCTTTCATTCTCCTGATTGTATTTTTTAAAAATTATCTAATGGCTGAACTGGAAGGCAACGTCTTCCTTGTTGACTAACGTTACATTCTTTAGACAAAAGATCTCTAAGTTTTGGCCGAGCTTGCCTTCAAGCGGAAATAACGTCTGATGCTGGGCAGAAAAAGTAATAGGTTCTCTCACATATTCCAGAGTGATGGCTTTCATCATAAGTGCCATGTATGTTGTTTTCAGTATATTTCACTTAAGAGCACATATTAGGGTGCTGGGTTAAAAAAATATAATGGTTATGGCAGAGAGGGTTCACTCAAAACCTAAGCAGTTTGCATGGAATACAGTCCTCAATAGGTGCTTATTGGTTGACAGGCACTTCTGGGGTTATTTGGGACTTGGAATTTCTTTGCTTTTTAGTAGATCATACAGTGGATGATGTGCATGCACCAGCAATATTTTCCAACTAAGTTGATTTGATACCAAGTGTCCCCATGACATGTCCCCTTACCAATATGAAACTTTTAAAATTAAAGTGCATACATTTCCTATCATGGGATAAAGTATGAAGTTTTGCAGGGAGCATGATATCCTTCATCAATGAAGAGCAGTATAGTTTCTTGCTAATAGATTGTAAAATATTGTTCAAAATCATCCCATAACGAATTAAAGTGCCTTTCTTTATCATGGAAGACATTCCCACATCTGGTAGGCTGCTGAAGTGATATTAAAAGTGACATTAGGAGATGTTATAAGTGATATTTGAGGTCACAATTCTTAGCTTGGCACTGAATTTGGAAGCCAAGCCAGCTCAGCCAAAAGATACTGCTATTTCTTATTTATCATTTTCTGGAAGTAACTGATATTTTTTGCCAATAACTTGTAAGGATGAAATGTGTGAAATGTGTATATACTTATTAATTTATAGTTGGTGTTCAGGGGTACACAGTGCAGAAAAAAATTAATTTACAAATGGTCTTTTACATAGTGTTACAGAAAAATGAATCAACTACTTATGTAGGCCTTCCTAGGATGCCTCGAAGGCCTTTTTGACCAAAGCATTGGATTTAATTTTGTCCTCTTTAATGGAACTCTTTATAAGGTAGTTCTTATATTTATTTGGTCCTTGAGGATGCAACTTGTGTTTCTGCCATTTGTAGCCCATCTTTCAACTCTATTAAAGGGAAATAAATCACCATTAGATTCAATATTTTCTCCATGAGCTGTGAAGATTTCTCATTAATTATTGTAGTGTATGGAAGTATGTAAATTAAATAGGCATTCTTCATAGAGTTCTACATAGTCTCATGATTCTTAATCTATTGGATGTTGTGAAACCTATTGTTCCATTTTAATAAAATAGTATTGACTTGTATCGGTAGTTGATATATTCTGTTTTTTTTTTCACTTCTATTTAATTTTTAATTCTAAGCTACATTCACGGCAAATTTCAGTGGGAAAGCTTAATTTGTCTTGGATTTATTGTGTAATTCATGGTCTTGAAGTTTTTTTAAATTGTGATTAAGGAAGGAGGACTCTGATGTGTCCACTATTTTATGTGGACTCCTATTTTTACAGGAAAAATGCAATATTTTTGGACATAAAAGGTTCTGTTCTGGCATCCCATAAGTCAAGGCAAGCCCCTTCCCCCATAGGGGCATTGTGGTCATTTAGTTCATCTGGCCCAACCTTGTCACTCTTAATCCTCAAAGGAGTCATTAAATGCCATCTGTCTTCCTCTCTCCCAAGGAGAGAGAGTGATTTCTCTTGGACCACTTTGTCAGATATTGTTGTGATGTTCCTTTGGGAGAGGGGGTGTATCATGCATGAATGATTTTTGAAATCTTCATAAGATGAGTGCCAGGAACACCAAGGTTCACCACTGATAACCTCAAGCCCCTTTCTGATGTTTTGAGGGGCTGGTGACAGTACAAAATTAAGGATATACCATCAAACAGGCATTGCCAACATTGCAAAGATGGACCAGGTAGACTATATATGAGATAATAATTTCACCATTGTTCATTTATGACACCAAATGCATTAAGTACACCATTATAGTGTTATAGTCATGAAAGGTTAAGTCTGAGCTGCACCAGCTTCAGCCCAAGTTCATGCATGTGCCGGTCAAAGAGGACCTGCTTAACCTCAGTCTGCAAAGTGCTCTGAATGTTTCAGACACACTTGAATAAAGATGGAGACTAGGCTTATGGTAATTTATTGTTTTAATTGCTTTCCACATGACCAAGAATATCTGAGGTACCAACTCTTGCATTAATGCTTGATATTCCTTCTGTTAACCTCTAGCAGACTCAGATGAGTGTCCTGAAACTCTTAACCTATTGACAGATGACACTCATTGTGTTCGATTTTGAATCCACCTAGTACCCTAGTAATGACTGCTGCTCAATTTATGGGGTGGTACTGTTACAGTGAATTGGTAGAACCTGTGCCACAGGTGTTCAGAATGTTCAGGTCTGAATAGGTTAAACTCCTTCCAGACCCAAATCTCTCTTTTTAATGGCATGGGATGGGAAGCCAGCTTTGTGACGTGGTCCAATCATCAGTATAGCATTTTCTTGGTCTGAGCAGATCATGTGGATCATCAAGTAGCCTATGTAGATATACAGGATGTTTTCATACTGTCATAGTATTTCCCAACATTTTGTTTGGGTGTGTCAGAAACTGAAATGAACTCGCTGTAGTTAGTTTTGAAGGATTATTTCAAGTACTGCACATTTTTATAGCGAGGGAGAGATATGTGTGAGGACTCATGCTTTAGTCAAGTTTAGGTTTCATTATAACAGCTTTTTTTATTATTGACTCCCTGAAGTTATTGCCTTGTCATGTATATCATCATAACTGACAGCTCCTCTTTAAATTCAAATTTTGTTCCATCTTTATTTATGCCCATGCAGAAAATTTTTTAGTCTGATAATTAATCGTGAATGTTCTTTATTCCAGATAAATAACCACCTGGGTTCTTGTGTACAGCCTGAAAGAAACTTTTAGGCAGAATCCAGGAAGCATGGCATCACCTGAATCAAGGGGCGAATTAGCGATCCATAAGGGTGATCCAAGTGCCATGCACTCGTATTCTGTTGTACCTGACTCCTCTGCGGGTCAGAGGAAGGTACGGCAGCATGTCAGCGTCCTTTCACTGCCGACCCAATCCCAAGTGCTTCCCTCTGCTCCACAAGCGATGATCTCATCTAGTACCCTCAAACATAGTTCTTCAGTCAGCCAAGAATGTGCTCCTCCCCCAAATAAACGCATCAGAATTGACCCTGAAGTGAAGGAACTTCTTGAGGATGCCTATCAAACAACAAAAGCACAGCTCCGGGACCTTCTGCGGGAATACTGTTTCCTGTTGCATGGCCCCATCCCAAAAGATGGTAGAGCAACGTGGAGGACGACAATACCTCTGGCTGGTGAGGAAGCAGTTATGCAGTCGTATGGTGTGTGTGCAAGTGACTTGAGTGATGAGAAGAAGCTCTTCGATTCCATCAGTGTGCCAACCGCATCTTCAGCTGCCTCCCCAAAGTCAAAGACCAATGCAGGTGCGATTGCATTTAATCCTATAAAGTTCAGCGCTTGTAATTCACATGTGACATTGTGTTGCATGCTTCACTGCTTCCCATCTACAATCATCCTGTTTTGAGTAGTTTTTTTTAATTAATCAATATTTATAAGAAATTTGTTTCTCAGCATGTGGAACATTTTGGAAAAACTAAGAGTTATAGAGTTATTCTTCAAAGAACCCATAGGTACTATTTGTGTCCAAGTGATATTTGTGGGTAAGAGCAAGTTTTAAACTGGATTGGAATCAATTTACTACACAAGAATAAGTTGGAGGTATGAGTTAGGTTTAAGAAAATATGTAAAGACATAGAATCTGCTATATAAGTAAGCAATGTGTGCTGGCCTATCTATGCTATTAGTTTCATTGCAATCAAGCATGCAAGTTCTATTTAATTCTTCAATTTCATTTCTTAATTGACAAAGTACTTAATTTCCATTACTATCAGAAATACCAGAGCCAGGTGTGGGCAAGACATCAGGGTCAGCTAAGTCCTCGTTGGAGAAAGTTCGAGCATCACCATCCTGTGCACTAAAATCTCCCATTCAAGCAGGTAAATAATATTATGTGAGAAATTTGCCTGATATTGACAATTCAGCTAAAAACTGTTCCTGTAATTGTGTTCCTAGTAGCACATTCACCCCAGAAGCCTGCATTAAGTCCTGGATCACGAGGATCCATGGGATCACCTCGAAGAGGACCTCCATCTCATCTTGGTGCTCCACGGGAGCCCTTTCTTTCTTCAATGGACTCTGCTTTTGCCAATCAACATCAAATTGAGAAGAAAGCCAAACAGGTGATGCCATTGCATTTTCAAGCAATTCAAATGAATAGGTCTATAACTGTGTAACAACCACTTTCCAGGTTTTGTCTGACTGGAAAGAATCTTCTGCTTAAGCCTGTTCCATTGTATTTTTCTCTCAGGAGGTGCATGTTCTCAAACGAGTTCGGGAACTGCGCTCACAGGGGGTGTGGCAGGCATCTCGATTGCCGAAAGTCAATGAACCTAGTCGAACAAAGGCTCACTGGGACTATCTTCTCGAAGAGGCAGCATGGATGGCCACTGACTTTGCACAGGAACGAAAATGGAAGAAGGCTGCTGCTCGAAAGGTCAAACATCTGTGTTTCTACTGGCTTAACTCCAGGTGGTTTCTGATTCTAATTGAGTTCATTTCTCTTTACATTGTAGTGTGCCAAGATGGTGCAGAAGTACTTTCAAGAACAGGAGATTTTGAAGAAGAAGAAAGAGAAGGAAGAGGAGATGCAGTCACGTAAAATTGCATCTATGATTGCCAGAGAGATCCGTAATTTCTGGAACTGTGTGGAAAAAGTCTGTGGATTTTCTCAATCTAACTGCCTCAGTATTCATTGCTTTTTGTGGCCTGGTTCCTAACTCTTCCTTTATGAATTTTTTTACAGTTGGTGGACTACAAGACCCAAACCAAGGTGGAAGCCAAGAGGAAGAGGGCTTTGGACCAGCACCTGAGCTTTGTCGTGGAGCAAACAGAAAAGTATTCCTCTTGGTTGGCTGAGGGAATGAATAATCCTCCCGAAGCCTCAGCCATTGTGCCTACAGAAACACCAATGGAGTGTCAAAAGGAGAAGAAGGATGTTGCAGATGATGGTGTGTCCCTATTCTTCATATCATGTTTGTGCTCTCTAATTTGAGGTACAGGGCTGAATGATATATGTGTTCGGCAGAGTTTCGACCAGGTGAGGAGAGCTCAGACGATGACGAGGAAACAATAGCTCAAGCTGAACAAGAGGGTGTCGATGGGAACTCAGAAGAGGATGAGATCGCAGCATTGAAGAGGGAAAGTGAGAAGCCTCTGGAGGACCTCTTTGATGAACTTCCACCAGGATACCTGGAAAGTCTTGGTCTCCCCCTCACTCCAGATACTGATCAGGATTCCTGCATTCAGCCAGTATGTTTTTTTAGGAATGGATCACTTGTAGTATCTTATCCATCTCACATCCCTTTCATGGCTGATTATCTTGCAGGCTGCAGATGAGTCACATTTGGAAGAGGATTCAAGGGAGAAATCCCAGATGCAGAATGATTGTGATCCAAAATTTCAAGTTCCTGCAACTTCTGGCCACCAGGTATAGTCATTCTGTCATTACCCTGGACTTGTGATTTGTGAAATATGGGCACTTCGACTAGCTTTTGTATTTTTTGAATGCCTGCATAATGGCTCAGCTAAAGAACCATGATTTTTACTTACAGTCAGAAGAGAGCAGAGGTGAATCTCATCCTCTAGTTGGGGAAATGGAAGTGGATGATGGAGGGTCTGATGCTGAAGATGAAGATAAAGAGGATGGGAGTGAAGGTCTTGAAGAAGATGAGGACATTGTAGAGGAGGAGGAAGAAGAGGAAGATGATGGAGATGAGGGTGAAGATGAGAAGGATGGAGATGAGGAAGGGGATGGTATGCCCGAAGTCAGCCTCAAGTCCCTTTTGGAGGATAGGCAGTCTGGGGTCAGTTCCATGTTGGCACTTCCACATCTGTTTCTTTTAAGACTGTATGCCTTGAGACTAATGACTGTTCTTTATTTCTCTGGACAGGATGATGATGATGAGGATGGTCCTGGGAGGGAAATATCTGACGTGGCTGCCATGGCAGAGAGTTTTCAGCCCAAGGGCAATACGCTATCCACTACAAAGGTGACCTAGATGATTCCTGCTTTCATATTAGAATTAATTCTGTGTCTGAATATTTGCTGTTTTCCTCATTGTATTTCCTATTTAAAAAAAAAAAGATTTTGAAGTCTAATATCTTCTAATTTGCCTTGAAAGGTGGTTGTGAAGGTGCCATTCTTGCTGAAACATACCTTGAGAGAGTACCAGCACATTGGGTTGGAATGGCTAGCTGCACTTCATGACCGCCGGCTCAATGGGATCCTTGCTGATGAGATGGGGCTGGGAAAAACCATCCAGACCATTGCTCTTCTTGCTCATCTTGCTTGTGAAAAAGGTTTCTGAAAGCCAGTCTGTTTTTCATTTACCTTTTTTAAACCGCCATTTTTGGAGTGGCCTTTTGTTATTTTTTGTCTGACGTAAAAGTAGTTCAGAGGATGATGAGACCCTTTTGGGGGTTGAGAAGCTATGATTCAAAGATGATCTTTGCACTCTAGACAGTATCTGACCAAGGTTTTTGTTTAGCATTCTTAAAGCTTACATATCTGCTAAACAAGCACATTTGTGAGGGTGAACATTGGATTTGCAGGTAACTGGGGTCCACACTTGATTGTGGTTCCTACAAGTGTGTTGCTGAATTGGGAAATGGAATTCAAGAAGTGGTGCCCTGCTTTCAAGATCCTCACTTATTATGGGAGTCAGAAGGAGAGGAAGCTGAAGCGCACAGGGTGGACAAAGCCCAATGCATTCCATGTTTGCATCACATCCTACAAGCTTGTCATTCAAGACCATGCTGCCTTTCGTCGCAAGAAGTGGAAGTACTTCATACTTGATGAGGCACAGAACATCAAGAACTTTCGTTCACAGCGTTGGCAGCTCCTCCTGAACTTCCGGACCCAACGGTGAGCAGTAATGCTGAAATGTCCCCTTAGTTATTGGTCCACTGCTAAGTGATTGACCCATTGGATGGTGTTTTCCCAGGCGCCTGTTGCTGACAGGCACTCCACTCCAGAACAACTTGATGGAACTATGGTCCTTGATGCACTTCCTCATGCCCCACCTCTTTCAATCACATAAAGAATTTAAGGAATGGTTTTCAAATCCTGTTTCTGGGATGATTGAAGGCACACAGGAATACAATGAGTCAATCATCAGAAGGCTCCACAAGGTACAATTCCCCTCACAAAGTTATTTGTGGGTGTCTGTTTCATCAAGTAATATCAAATATTTGGGAAAGCTGTCAATAAGGGGGCAAAAGCTTATAAAATTCAAAACAAGCATGTTTTTTTTACATATATTACTTGTGAATGCTAATTGGACACAAGTGCAGTAAGTTTGAAAATGGGCATGGACTCCCATTGTCATTAGGAAGAAGTAATTTGAAGTTAGAGAAAATTATCTTTGAGATTTATGAGTTCTTAAAGAAGTTTAGTGAGGGCACTGATATGTTAGTGTTTACATATTCAGGGGGAAATTTGCAAGATAGGCAGGTTCTGTTCAAGTGATGAATTATTTCTCAATACAATCCTTGCTCCACTCAGCTCATTATGATGGTGTTGACTCAATCCCAAGACTGCTAATGATGTTGAAATAGATAAAGACAAGCATATGTCTGAAGTCAGTGATGTTTTACCTATATCTTACTGAAGCCAGAGTCTTTGGACCAGACCACCATTTTATTCATCATTTCTAATTAAGTTCTATCAATTACTATTATTTTGCTTTTTCAGGTATTAAGACCTTTCCTTTTGCGGCGCCTGAAGTCAGAAGTGGAAAAGCAGCTGCCAAGTAAATATGAACATGTTGTCATGTGTCCACTATCCAAGAGACAGAGGTTTCTGTATGAAGACTTCATGAGTCGAACCAAGTGAGAAGACAGACTCTTACCAAATGTTTCTCAAACCAAAAACCAAAAATTACGGGTCAAGTAACTACTGGTTGATGAATTCCATAACAGGACAAAGGAGACTCTGGCAGCTGGGAACTTCCTCAGTGTTATCAACATCTTGATGCAACTGAGAAAAGTGTGCAATCATCCCAACTTGTTTGAACCCCGTCCGATCATCTCTCCATTCGTAATGCCAGGGTTGATTCTTCCGACTGCCTCCCTTGCCGTTCGAACTCTGGAATATGATCCTTTGCAGGTTCTTGATATTTCTTCCTCTATGCCCACTTGATAATTGCAAGCTTTACATGATGAGCAAAAACATTGACAAGCATATGTCTGATTAAATTGAATGAAATATCATTTACCTGAGCAAATTTGATTTCTTAATAAGTCCTTTTTCAATGATTTTTTGGAAATTGCAATGAGAGGAATGCTTTATTTGCAGTGTGTAAACTTTGACTCGCTGAACTTAAATTTGGCCTCGGCTGAGATGCGTTTGGGTGCGTTTGAGGCATATCGCATTCACAAATATGCGACTCCCCGACGTCTCATCGAGGAGATCAGTTCAGGAAAGGCAGGATCAGTGCCAGTGGTTCCTCGAGGAGAAGCGCGCATCTCCTACAAGCCCTGCCGTCCCACTGTTCGCAGTAACCCATTGGAATCTCTTCTCCCCAAGGTCAAGGGTCCAGAGAAGGCCCAGCTTGAGACTCTACTCTCTGGTGAGTCCAGTTTGAAGTTGACATTGCATGAGCACTTCCTTGAAAAAGATTCAGCATCATTCATGGCTTGTTTTTTTGTTATCAGGTCAGACTGTCAAGCGGGAACCAGAACCCCCCATCAACAAAGGTAATTTCTCAAAGTTCTGAGTTTACACTTTTGTTTATGACAGTTCTGAAAGGGGATGTTTTCTGTTATAGGAGGAAACGATATGGTTAGTCAGGCCCAGCAATTGGCTCAGTTGCTGCAGAGTGGAGCTCTGCAGATCCAGCAGACTCCTGATGGCCAGCACATCCTGCTTTCCCCCCAGCTTGGCCGTGGTACAGTCCTTCAAGTCATCCAGACACCCACAGGTATTTCCCTTGTCTCTTTTTATTTGTAGATGGCATGAGGACAGCAAATGAAAAATTGCTGATTCATATACATATATGGTTGAAAGTTCAGCTCAAAAGTCCTCAGGACTTCATAGACAACTCAGAAAATGTAAAATATCAGGATATTTAAAGCCATTATCAAAATATCAGGAATATTAGTTGTAGATACAGTTGCCAATACCTAGGCCTTGTTGAAGGAGCTCTCATTACTTGTCTTTTTATTGCTTGTCTCAGGCTTTGGTTTGTGCTTTATCATATGTCAGACCTTTACTGGCTAAGTTGATGAACTCAGTTCTGTCTCAATTAGGTCCTGACCTATCATAACTGGCATCTTTCTGAAAAATTGCTAACCATTCAAATTTAAATTGGAAATCTATACAGTCCAGTTTCTGGCAGGTCATTTAAATAGCTGGGTTCCAGATCACTTCCTGTGATTGTTCAAACCTTTGCCAAGCATTGAACCATCTCCTGTGGTCACAAATGGGCTCATCCAACCCATGCCTTATCAGGCCTACATGAAAATATAAATGTGCATGCTCTTCTCCTGTGTGCCACTCGACAACTCTGAGCTCACATGAACTAAGAAGCCATAAGCTCAGACATCTCTCTCAATATCTCTCTGATGCCTGACATAACCAGTAATTGACCTCTCAAGTGTAGAATTTCTCAGAAGTCTGCATTGGGGAATTTTTTTGTTAGTTATAGTTAGCATTTGTATATTAGAAATTAATACTATTTTCCAAGTAGTGAATTTATATATGAGTGAATTTATATATATTTATATGACATCTTTATTCTAGTAGTAAGTTTTTATTTCTGACCCTTGGATTCCAGATTTTGAGTTCATATGCAACTCAAACTTGAAAAATAGCAAGGTGTATATGTACATTAAACCCATCAAGGGAGCATTTTGTCATTGCGGGATTCTTACAGCATACCCACTTGAGAGGCTAATTAGTATGGTTTCTTATATATTAAATGTGGCAGTGGGAGCTTAGTTGTATTGCAAGTTTGAATCTCTGAATTGATAATCTGACACTGAGAAAAGAATTGGAGTTGTAGTGGCAGAAGTGAATAAGGGTAGAGCTGGGATGGAATCTGGATTCGACTTAGCCAACATGCAATTGAACTCCATGCTAAAGTGGAGTAATAGCTAATTATTTCACTATTTGGGGTTATTCCTTTTGCATTAGGATTTCTTCTACATAGCTGCACCTCTGATCGACCCATAGCCTTGGTTCTTTTGGCTCTTGGGTTCTTGCACTGGTGCCAGATCATATGAGAGTGCATGAACCAGCAGGGTTACCTTGAGTTACCAATTTATGAGGTATCCTTCCTAGAGGGATGCGCACAATGTCTGTCAGAAATGGATTGGTCATTGGAGATTGGAGTTATTCGTTGTCTGCATATTTTTTAAAAAATAGTTATTATTAGAGATGCAACGATATTGAATTTTAGCTGATTTACCTATAATTCCAATATTGGAAAAGTACTGATACCAAATATCTATATATACATTTATATTTTTTCACATTCAAGGTATATGTTAAACAGAGAACAATCTGATAATGCTGCTAAACACCTATTTCCAGGAAATATGTGTTTTCCCCAGAATAAAGCTGCATTATCAGATTGTTCTCTGTTCAAAAATCCATCCTCAGGCATTAATCCCTCCTCTTTTAAGTTTTATTTGGGACCAGGTCTGATGGGGAAAGCTTGAGGTGCACCAGTGGTGCACCTCATGCTTTTGCCATTTCTCCAATAGTGAGAAGAAATGTTTTCTTCATGCTGAAGCCAGGCTCCCCAATGTGGATTTTTTAAATATTACATTGGATTTGCAGCAGGAATTTTATTTCCTATGTTCCATCCTAGAACTTGCAATAAGGTGGAATAGCAATTCTTTTTTTTTTTTCAAAGTAGCACTCAGTTCAGAAAATGTCAAGAATGTCAAAGTTCCCTCCTTCATACCTCTAATGGACACCCAGACAGACATGACTGACAAATTGTTAANTACTAGGAACACAATTACAGGAACAGTTTTAAGCTGAATTGTCAATATCAGGCAAATTTCTCACATAATATTATTTACCTGCTTGAATGGGAGATTTTAGTGCACAGGATGGTGATGCTCGAACTTTCTCCAACGAGGACTTAGCTGACCCTGATGTCTTGCCCACACCTGGCTCTGGTATTTCTGATAGTAATGGAAATTAAGTACTTTGTCAATTAAGAAATGAAATTGAAGAATTAAATAGAACTTGCATGCTTGATTGCAATGAAACTAATAGCATAGATAGGCCAGCACACATTGCTTACTTATATAGAGGATTCTATGTCTTTACATACTTTCTTAAACCTAACTCATACCTCCAACTTATTCTTGTCTAGTAAATTGATTCCAATCCAGTTTAAAACTTGCTCTTACCCACAAATATCACTTGGACACAAATAGTACCTATGGGTTCTTTGAAGAATAACTCTATAGCTCTTAGTTTTTCCAAAATGTTCCACATGCCGAGAAACAAATTTCTTATAAATATTGATTAATTTAAAAAAACTACTCAAAACAGGATGATTGTAGATGGGAAGCAGTGAAGCATGCAACACAATGTCACATGTGAATTACAAGCGCTGAACTTTATAGGATTAAATGCAATCGCACCTGCATTGGTCTTTGACTTTGGGGAGGCAGCTGAAGATGCGGTTGGCACACTGATGGAATCGAA